ATAACACTTATATACTATGATTAAGGTTACATAAATAATCACGAAATTTTCATTTGATATTCATAAAATATTCATAAATATATGCACATAAAATGATGAATAAACTCTTTTATTATTTAAATAATAAATATCATATTACATCTTATGCTTCTAGGACACTATTCCCAACAATCTCCCACTTGTCCTAAAGCAGGTGTGTCATGTCTCTAATCCCAAATCCATCTAAGTGCCGATCAAATACATTCAATGGCAATGTCTTGGTGAACGAGTCAGCAAGGTTGTTCTCTGACGCGGTCTTCAGAACCGCTACATCGCCTCTATCCACAATGTCTCTGATCATGTGATATTTCCTTTTTATATGTTTCGCACTCTTATGGCTTCTAGGTTCCTTTAAATTAGCCACCGCTCCACTGTTGTCATAGTAGAGCTTAATTGGCTTATCTATATCTGGAACAACTTCTAGATCAGTTAAGAACTTCCCGAGCCATGTAGCTTCTTTTGTGGCTTCACAAGCTACAACATTTTCAGCTTCCATGGTAGAGTCAGCAACACACTTTTACTTTATACTTCTCCATACCACGGCTCCTCCATTAAGAGTGAACACAGATCTAGATGTCGACCGTCAACTATCTCTATCCGATTGGAAATCAGAATCCGTGTATTCGGTGAGAGACAGATCTTCTCCAGAATATACTAACATATAGTTTCTCGTTCTCCTAAGATACTTGAGAATACACTTTACTGCAACCCAATGATCTAATCCTGGGTTGGACTGGTAGTGACTGACCCCTCCCACTGCATAGCAAATATCTGGTCTTGTACACAACATGGCATACATAAGGCTTCCCACGGCTGAAGCATAGGGATACCGTCTCATATCTTCTTCCTGTTGTGGAGTCTTTGGACATTGCTCCTTAGAAAGATGAATACCATGCCTAGAATGCAAATTTCCTTTCTTAGAGTTCTGCATCGAATACCTAGACAACACTTTGTCTATATAAGATGCCTGTGATAAC